TAGTCAAAAAAGGAGTGAAAACTAAGAGTGGGCATTTTCTGAGGGGGGCCTCAAGTCACAGAAGTTTGAGAAACAGTGGTCTAGAGCAAGTGCAATGCGCTGTACAGCACACAGCCTTCAGCCAGACAGGGAAGTGGTGCACAAGTAACCCTGACAGATGTCTGGGCAGGAGGAGAGCGCATGGAGTCGTCTCCATCTTCTCTTGGATGGGAAGTAGCAGCCTTCAGAGTAAGCAGGAGCCCTTCTTTTGTGCTCTTCTGCTGTCATGTTAAATGCAGCTGCCAGAATATTTTGGATTAGGGCTTTTGTGAGAACAGTCTGTTCTTCCTAGGGTCTGCTTGAGATTTGTTGGATCTTCCTTTGTAAGCCATTCTGCCCCACAAAGAGCCACTCATTTCCCTTGCGGTAGCTCATATGTCAAAGAACCGGCAAGATGCTGTTTGTACAGGGCCTTTGCCATTTAGCAGGACTGAGCGCATGTAGGGCAGATTTGGGGAACACTTTTTCACACAGTGGGAAGCATCTCTCTACCTCCCTTCATCAATCTAGCACAGCAGCAATGAAACACTTAAATAAGGCTCTGAGGTTTCCATTGAGAGAGCCCAATATTTACCTCCTAATGACAAGACCCAGGGTTAAATTCTCAGACTTCCTGATTTAGAGAACAATACGAATAACCAGAACAATTGATTGCATCTCAGAATGGGGCTTGTCAAGTGTTGTCCCAGCTCCACTGTCATAAACTCTGTTTTTGGCAGATTGTGGATTCATAGGTGTCAAGGCTAGAAGCGATCCTTGAAATCAGCTAGTCTGACATCTGCCTTTCAAAGCAATCACTGTGGCCTTTAGAAATGACAGCGAGATAGCAGCATGTCCTCTAGTTCCCTGTGGGATTTCTCAATTCAAACCAATCACATTTGGCAAAATAATCGTCCAAAATAAAACTGGGGGCTGGGCCTGGGGCAGGGGGTTGTGTTTGTGGCAGCTCAAATCTGGCTGCCACAAACACAACCATCCCCAGAGTTTTTCATATGGATGGCGCATGCTGCCTATTAGGGGCAGGAAGCAGCAGCCTGATTTCTTGTGGCACTTAGGGTCCTGCATATAGTCTGGATTCTTTTTCTGTAACCTAAAACACTCTGATGGAATCAGCCTCACCAAAAGCACATCGGAGAGGGTGTTGCTTGTCTCGACTGTGACTAACATGCTGGTGGGAACCAGTTAAAGCCCAGTAGGAGATCCTGTAAATGCAGGTTGCCTGCTGCTTGCTTGCCGCTCATGTACTTAACAGCAGGGGCTGTGCTGCTGGGTGCTTTGTTGTCATTGTTTGTGAAATGCCTCTCCACTTCATTGTGTGACGCTGCTTTTGGGGGTGATGGGGCCGCACCTCCTTCAGACTAATATTCCAGTGTAATTGCTGTTATTTTTGAATCATTTGCTTCCTGCTTTACTCAGAAGGTGCTTGAGAGATCTCTCACACTGTTATTTTTGTAATGAAGCAATGAAGGTTTTTGGAAATCCCAGTGCCTAAACAGCTGCTTGCATTAGAAGTCTAAGGTCCACAGGAGCTGGATGTCTTGAGAGGGCACAGCAGGTGTCTGGTGCTTTCAATTCAATTACCTGCTCTGGAGTTTGAGTCCATAGGGGATACTGGCTTTTCTGGGCAGGATTATGCACGTGGCAGGTCCCTTCCTTTGGAAAGCCACCAAGGAAGCTTTTGCTCCTGACCAGTTTCTTTCCATGTTGGCTGGAGTGTGGGCATGTGTGCAAATATTAGATGGAGCAGGGGTGACTTATGCATAACACTTCACTGTTCAGTCCTAAGGAATGGGTGGACAGACCAAGACAGAGGTCATTCCTCATTTTATACTACACTCTCCCACGTCTTGATTGACTGATTTATGCTTCTTTCAGTTCAGAATCTGGGTCGCCCATACTGGCTGACGCTGGCTCCTATGTACCTCTGGATCATGATTTTCTTCAGTCAGCCGCACAAAGAGGAGCGGTTTCTCTTCCCCATATATCCCCTCATCTGTCTCTGCGGAGCTGTGGCTCTTTCTGCCCTTCAGGTGGGTTTCAGAGGGAAGTGCTGATTTTTTTTTTTTACAATCCAGCACCTATGGGGAGTTTAATTGCCAACTCACTTCTGTCTCATTGCTCCCCAAAGCTTGGGAACATCTGCTGCTACAACACAATCTGCAGAGCGCAGCAGTGCCCCACGTGCAGTTCTGAGAGTGTGTGCAGTCAGCCATTCTCGACCTGTTAGCTGGCAGGGCTTTTGATTTTGGGATGTCTCTCATGGATTCATAATGAGACCCCAGAACCAAAGAGCACAACAGTTCGAAAGTTAAAATGAGTGTGTGTGTGGTGTGTGTTGCTGTCACAGAGCAGCTGCCTAAGTATATTCCTCCAGTTCAAGTGGATGGAGACGGTGTCTGCAAAATCATGTAGGAAAACTACTAGGATTTCTCTCCCCAAAAAGGTTCATAGATTAGATTCATGAATGTCATAAAGACGTGAACGACTGTTAATACTGCAGCACTCTTGAGCTTTGGTGCAGACTTCTGAATAGCTCAGCCACAAAGGTCACATTTCACAGCTTCATAATGCAGTCACGGTAGGTGTTTGTCAGGGATCCTAAGGAGGAAGGGCTTGGAAGATCTGGCCATGAGTTGTTTCATGGTGAGCCAGGGTTATTCTCCACCGCATGAAACAAGATTTCTGGGGAAGGGCAATGGCAGTGTTGTAGTATCAATGCAGAGAACATCCAAGAAGTGTCCCCTGGGTTGATATCAGTGATATCAGCGGGTACCACCACTTTGTGTCCAAGGCCTCCTGCTCAGTGGGCTAGAAGGAGCAGATTCCATGCCTTTCCCTGTACGTTGCTAGGAACGACACACTTAAAGAGGGAGAGAGATTGTTTATGAAGTGTTTTAATCTGCATTTATTAAACTCCTTTTTGGATTCTTTAAAAATAGCTGTTTCCCAATGCTGAGAGTAAACTGTTCCAAGTCAGCTCAGGCTGCACAACACTGAAGTTGTTCATCTCTTGCCTGAGGAAAAGGTGCAGACGCTAGTCCTGTCAGAGCGTCTCCCAGTTGTGCCCCTCTGTTCTGCCATTGCCCCTCCATCCTGGAACGTGATACTGCTTGCTGTCCTGTGGCTCCCTCTCAAATCATCCTTGCAGCAGCCCCAGGCCCTTACCCACAATTGCCAGCGCCCCTCAAGGTGGGCTTGCCTTCCTTTCCTCCTCCAGCCTGTGCGGAAGGACCATCCTTGTGCTGAATGTTCGCAGGATCTGGTCCCACATCCTCCTTAGGCTTGTAGCCCTGACTGAGAGTCGCTGTGTGCGGCAGGGGAGGCTCCGCAGAGGGCAGTGGTTTGGGACACCTGCCAAACGTGATTGCAGGAAACCCTAATGTGTATTTCTGTCCTGCATATTTTAACACCATGCATTTGGTTTTGCCCAGGATGTAAGATCCAGCTGGGGGTTTAATCTTCCCCACTCACTATGCAAGCCTGGAAGGAAAGGGGCTCCCAGCCCCTCCCTCAGACCAGTTCCCCCATGGGAAGATGGCTGTTAGGAGATAAAAGCAAAGGAGTTAAGAGGAGCAGAGACCGTGTTAGGCCAGGAAGTGCATGATGCCTCCTACAAGGGGAAAAGAGGAGGTGTGGGAGCTGAGTATGCTTCACTGCTGTTTCTGCTGGATGTGCCCCCGGCCATGTTAGAGCATCAGGACCCTTTATATATTTCTTATAGGGATTTTTTTTTAAAGAAGCTCGAGGCTGGGCTGCATGTAAAGAGGGCTGCACATGTGTTGGTTCTTCATGTCCCTGCATCCTGTTTCAAAGAACACAACTTCTATTTGGGGAAGGTGACCAAGAGTCGTGCAGTGGTGACCTGGTGGTGCGCCTTCTTTTAATGGTGGAACAAGTCTAGCTAGAGAAAGGGAAGAGAGTTTCCGCATGAGTCTGTGGGGAGTCCTTGTGGCGGGTCCTTCCAGGGATCAGTAGAAGCAGCATCTGTTGGGAATAGCAGGGCCAGAGGCCTGGTCTGGAGGGTGCTGTCAGGGCTGAGGAGAAGGAGGGTTGGACAGCTCTTTAAATAACCTAGACCTGCAAGAGGGAAATGCAGTGAAATGGCATGCATCTCTGCGCATTCCTGCGGGAGCTGAGTTGGGAAAGCTGAGCTAATGGCACTCATCTCTTCTTCACTCCTCAGAAATGTTACCACTTCGTATTCCAGCGTTACCGCCTGGAGCACTACACGGTTTCCTCCAACTGGCTGGCCCTGGGGACGGTCTTCCTCTTTGGGCTCTTGTCACTGTCACGCTCAGTGGCCTTATTCAAAGGTTGGTGCAGTAGGATTGCCCTGGTCTTGTACCCAGAGTGGTTCCTGACCTGGGAATGACAGGGCTGGAGTGGGCATAAAAGTGGTGTTGCTTTAACTCAACCAGTCTTGTGAAACCAGTGCATCAGTTTCCTTCTTGTACAGGCACTGGTGTAGGTGATATGGGAGAACACAGTTTTGTTCCAGCACAACTTGTCTCCCCACTAGGGAATGTGCTATCTGTCACAGAGCAATACCCACTACCCAACACAGTGAATCACAGAGTTAGAAGGGACCTCGAGGGATGTGTCTTCCAACCCTGCACATACAACATCCGTTGGGCTTACACATGTACTTAGCTTTAGGTCCTACTCAAGAAAACATTGAATCCATCCCCAGTAAAGGGACACTTACCTCGGTACAAGCTTCACAGGCGTGGGTATGTGTTCAGGTGCTTGAATCAGGGCTGTAAGTAACCATAATGACTTTGATGGGCCAGTCACCTGGGTCAAGTTAACACAGACATCAGATTCAGGCCATCTGCAGTAAGGGCAAGAGAAGAGCGATAAAGGTGCCAGCTGACAGCATGATAAAGGAATGGAATTTGAAATCCAAGTACATTTCATTTAGTCCAGAGGCCTTCAGGTAAAGCCCTGAAAGTTGCTTGGGGCTTTGCACATCTGTTTACTCATACCTTTCTTTGTATTTATTTTCTTTACTACGGGTGCCTGCATAATGTTCCAGTTACGGTCATCCAGGAGTCGCTGGATGTTCAGTAGGACGTGTTTTCTGTGAGCAACATGAAATGCTTGTTATTTTAGCAAAGCCCTTGTGGTAACTGCCCCTGCTGTAAGCTTAGCTAAGCCAAAGCTAAATAGAAATCAGTGGGATGGGCAATGTCAATAGCAGTTAAGTGGCAAGGACTGGAATGCTTGTGATTTGGGGAGTATTTGGGGAAAAATCCAGATGATGTTGAAGGAGGCCCTGCTTTGATGTCTCGCATGGGTTGGAGTTAGTGTTGACGGTGCCTGCTACCAAGTGCTGGTACCGTTTTGCCAGCTGCTCCATGAGCTGAGGGTGGGGACTCCAAATAGTCACAGAGGTCTGTCTGGACACTAAGCTAGAAGCAAGACATGAGAATACTGCCCACCTCTTGAGTCTTACTGACAGCCTTCCTCCTCTGTAGGCTACCATGGGCCTCTGGACCTGTATCCGGAGTTTCACCGAATTGCCACTGACCCGACCATTCACACAGTGCCAGAGGGGAGGCTGATTCATGTCTGCGTGGGCAAGGAGTGGTACCGATTTCCCAGCAGCTTTCTCCTGCCAGACAAGTGAGTTGCTCTTCCCCCCTCAGGACCTAATTAACGAGGTGCTGAGGAACGAGTGCCTCTTGTAAATAAAATTTCCGAGAGTGACCTCTGGGTATGTTCTCTTGCGTTCCAGTAGATTCACTGAGCCCTAGACACTTGTCTTGGCGAACAAAGGGCTACATTATATTGTCTGGAAACCCTTGTGAATTTGGGGATCTCCATTTACGTGCATGCCTTCCTGCTTTTCTCTTGAGAGTAGATTGCTGCCAAATTGTGCTTTTTTTGTTTTCTCAATCCCACCCGCTAGTGGTTCCTACAGTTTCATTCCAGATTTCCCCCCTTCTCTTCCCTGCAGTTGGCAGCTCCAGTTCATCCCATCAGAGTTCAGGGGCCAGTTACCGAAACCATTTGCCAAGGGACCAATGGCCACACGGATCATTCCCACAGACATGAACGATCAAAACAGAGAAGAGCCATCCAGATACGTAAGGACCGTTTGAGCTTTCTTTTCCTTTCCTTATCATCGTCTTTATTTATTAGGGTCACTGCAGCACTGAGGGGTCCTAGTTGAGGACCTGGATCTACTGTGTCAGGTGCTGCACAAAGAGAGAACAAAAAAGGCTTACAGTGGCATGTAGCTGCATCCCGAGGCAGGATCAGGTTATGTGGGTGCCCAAATCCTGGCTACATTTCATCTCTCTTATTTGAAGCGATTTATAAAAAAAAAAACCAAAACCTCCTGGTAGTTCTAGTTTCTTAATCAATGTGCTGTTGTTTTCTGTGATCCCAGGGAACTGAGCTGAGCTAACTCAAGTCATTTGAAATCCCCCACGCAAAATGTTCGCTGAGGAGTATGGAGAACTTTCCTTTCTTTTAGAAGTACGTAAATAACAATGTCTAAGGTGTTCGTCACAGAGCTAACAGGAGCTTTACCTGAAGCCATTTGAGACACAGACATCATTCATTTTGAAGGGAAGCTGTTGAGATAACATATATCAGTGTGGTATATTTGTTTCTTTTCCAGGTTGTCTGGTGTTACCGCACCAAAAATACCACTTTTTCCCCTTGCCAACTTGCCTGCTGTAGAATTATTTAGCAGATTAAATGTCAGAGTCAGGAGGCAGTTTTCTGCTAGCCCTCTCCCTCCCCCCTCCTTTTTTCTTCTACAAGGACTCTTTGGATTCACAGCTTAGACCACTGAATTCGTGCGGAAACATGTTCTAGTCAGATCTCGCATAGGATTCTGTATTGCTGCTTGGGCGATGGTGTGCACACTTTATGTGTAGTGTTAGCTGGAGAGCTTTTAGTCAGTGTGTTTGTAAGGATCTGGCTTTAGCAAACAGACATATGATACTACTCCCTTGAGGGGGATCTGGGAGAGGAGTCCTGCTCCCGGCACTGGACCAGAATACCTGAGCAGGCCCCGGAGCAGAGGCTAGAACCCAGGCTGCGGTTTGGAAGTGGCTGTGCTGAACTCAATCCCATTAGCACGTGTTAGGCATGCTCCAAGCATACCAACCAAACCAGGCCTTTCAGAGAGCTGCCTAGCACATGAATCCTCAGTGTCCTGGGACCCGAGGCCAGCACCAAGATGTTCACCTTAGCCAAGCTGGTGGCAGATCTCACCTGCAGCATGGGAACTTGAGGCACCCAGGTCAGTTTTCTGGTGACAGTTTCGCCCTCCCCTCCAGCCGGTCCAACCCCAGTGGGGCTAGAGTTCTTGTAGCTGATTCATTTAGATTGAAATTCAGCGTAATCCTTTTTTTGGACCTGGCCATAAGTGACTTGCTCTGTGGCATCAGTAGAATTGAACCCGAGTGCTGGGGTGTGGTTGTAAAACATTGGCCCTTCCTCTCTTTGTCATCTGAGCAGGTGACTAAGACGAACAGCTGCACACTAGCCAGTGCCTTTCTTCCTCTTCTGCCAGCCCCGTGAAGGGTATCTGCATGTTTGTAGGAGGCACTCTGACACCACACAACAAATCCTTAGCTGTTGTAAAGTAGCATGGCTCGCAGAAACCAATGGGCAGAGGCCCACTTGCACCCCCGGGAGGCCCCTGCCTTGGCAAGACACCCTTGGCGCAGTGTATTTACCATTGGGTGTTGGGGACTCGGGCTCTCCGCTAGCACAGGAAGAAACCGAGTGGGGACCAAGGCAGGGGCTTTTCTGCAGGACCAGGGTGCAGCTATTTTGAGCCCCATTACGCAGCTCTGGGACACGGGAAGGAGGTGGATTCCCACCTGAGAGGAGCTGTCTTCCGCAGTGCATGTCATTTAGGAAAGCTTTAACGGTGGCATATTTTTAGCGCAGACAGCTGGCTGGGGCACAGCCTGTGACTAATGAAACCAGGCGCAGTTTTGTTTCACGATTGTCTCTTAATGTCACCCTACAATTTTGTTATTTCTTCTGCAAGCCAGAGGGACCAGGACAGATTTAGTCCCTGCAGTCAGTTTGAGAAATACAGGAATTAGCAACTTGATGTAAGTGGGGTTTTCTTAAGTAACCCTTGATTCGGAGCTGCTAATAATACCAGGAGAACAGTGCCTTCTGCAGAGCAAAATGAGCTGTAAGGCATTGGAACCTACCCTGTTCCAGAGGCTGCCAGCAAGTGCTGGAAGGAGCAGCCAGGACCATGCAGAGGAAGTCAAGCTAAACGGTGTGAGCCTGTTGCTAATTTAAAGGTGAGAGGTCACATGTGGTAATGGGACTGTCTGAGCTGCAGGCAGTTCTGCTGAAGCTGGCTGTAAACAGCTTGGGAAGCACTGAATAAATCTCAGGGATCCTGTTGTTGTGGGTCACTGGGAAAAAAATCAGGATTTAGTCATCGTTGCACTAAGGGTTTAATTCTGTGTCTGTTACTCATGCTAAGGAACACTTAACTCAGACCCATTGTTCCACTGGATCCAGTGTCCCTCTCGCAGACAGGGTGATGCTGGTGATGAAAGGTACTGTCCCTTACAAGGTTCAACAGGTACCAAACGCAGGGTCTAACAGCATGAAACTTTGCTTGAAGTCCCTGACTTTGGAGAAGATTGATTTTGGTTTGCATTGTTGTTCCTTCTTCTTTCCCAGGATCCTCACTGGTCATGTCCCAAAGCAGATCAGTGACCCGCAGGCTCTGATAGCTCAAGAAGACATCTCAGAAACGAGGGGTGTTTGGACAGGGTCTCTGCGAGACATACATTGACTGGGCTCTGACAGAGCAAGTGGGCAACATGCCATGCTGCGCAGCATGGGCAGCCTGGCTGGCCCCCATTTCTGTCCAGTTGCCAGCACAGAGCAGAGCCATTACAGCCCTGAGCAGTGGCTGTACCCAGCATCCTGCCCATTGAGCGCACACTGCTCCACAGGATGTGGTCAGGCGCCTTCTCCAGTACCACGTCACACAGCAGCTGCACCAGGGTGAGAAGGGCTGCAGGAGGGGCTTGTGCATTTGGGACTGCAACCTGCTCTGGGCACTTTGGTGAAACCTTTCCATGCACCCAGGGCTGCTTCAGGGCCCACACACAACTTACAGCCTCCAGAAACCCTAAAACAGGATGCCAAGCCCTATGCTGGCCCCACCCCAGGGTGAGTGTCACCCTTCACTTCATCTTCAGTTTAGGAACGGGATAATGTATCCTATGGCAGAGAAATTTTTGTCCTGGAAGCTTCAGTCCTGTCGAGGAGGCACTGAGGACAGAAGGGGCCGCTGGATCTTGGGAGCTGCTGCTTGTTCAGCACAGGAGCTTGCAGAGGCTCTGAGAAAGCGCATGACTTACAGACCAAATATCCTGAAAATGCATAACTCTCCCGTGGCTTTTCTTTCTGCCACATTCTGCTCAGCTGAGCTCACGGCCGTAACCTTTCACCTGCTGCTCCAGTGCAACACGGAGGAGCCATCTAGGCTCCCCTTCACCAAAGTGTTTTCAGCAGTTTCTAGCAGAGCCCAACGTAGATGCAGGAGAGTGACTCTGAACATGCTGAGGGACGTTTGTAACACACAATAGCGACACAGCTTGGGCAGCCTGGCTGGAGGGAAGCAGCTTGCGGAGTAATGCTGAGAGAGGGGTCCCTGTTTGCCAGGGTTTCTGCTGCCTGCAATGAAGCGTACGCAGGAAGAAGTGACTCTTGCACACACCGTGCACAGGTTTGCAGCTTTGACTGGGTGAACGAAGGAGCTTGTAGCACTTCCGCTTCACCATGGAGCCCCCGCGATGCAACAGTCTTCTGGCTCAGACGGTGCTTGCTCCTTTCTCTTTAGTCTGATATAACTTAGCTCTTTGGTGTTTTCCTGAGCTGGACAGACTCTTGCCTGCTTATTTGGGCTTGTTTGGGAGCCACCCTGCTGTCTGTTTCATTCTGCTTTTAATTGCAGAAGTTGTCACTAGAGGGGTGTTACCCCTTTGTGGTGCAGCGGGACCTCTGTCCATGTGCTGCTGGGTGCAGTGATCCTGAGGGGACACAGAACCACCCAGCCTTTGTGCTGCCGCTTCCTTCTTCCTAGCGAGGCCCATCTCAGGAAGGCGCTTAGCTTTCTAAGTCCCACCAAGGTGGCTGAGATGGGGCATCTGGTGGGGCTAGCCTAAGTATTGGTCAGGGATGGTTTAGAAGTGGCATTACTGTGGGGCTAGACCAGGTGACTCTCAAGGTCCCCTCCCACCGGCGATCCTTTGGTCGTCCTCGCCCTGCTTCCTTGGTTCTTTGCCGCAGGGTCTTCCTCAAAACTTCCCTCGCAGTCACCTCCTCCCTGGATGGGGTTTTTGATCTTCCTTCTCCATCCCACCCCCAGCTTTGGTAGCTCAGATTGTGCTACAGCCACCTCCTCCAGTTACCATGCCCAGGATCCCGTGGGCATCTCTGGCTAAGGAGCCTGATCACAAATCCCATAGCTCATGCTAAGGGAAGCAGCTGCAAGATGGAGATGAGGTTACAGGGTAGAATCTGGGCAGGAACGGTGGAGGATGAACAGGAGCCTGCTGCCCTCCATCAAGGAACATTTCCTGCCATTGCCAGCATCACAGCCGTGACTATGGTGCCCCAGCGCCATCCCGCCCTAGCTGATCATTCAGAACGGTGATTCACTTCGGGCAAAGGCCTGTGACACATTGTACAAGAAGACAAATGCTGGAAGGCATTTCAGCCAGCCCAAATCCACCTTGCTGCCGCGGAGTCTCCATGGCACTTTCTCCCCCCAAGAACATTGTCTCTGTTTTGATGGCAGGTGCCTTCAGCGGTGGTGTAGGGTCAGGGAAGAGAGAGACAGGCTGCTTCATTCTCCTGTGCGTCTAGCTGGGCGAGTCCAAGCACAGGCTCTGATGGCAGCAAGGTCTTCAGGAGGAGTCAGCTGCAGCTTTCAGCTGCTCCTCATTTTCATTGCTGTTTGCTGATCTAATCATGCCCAGATTAGCTGGAGCGAGGGAGCCACACTCGGATATTTCCCCATCAGGTGTTTGAATGGGTGACGGCTGCAAAGTGCAATGGAGTCCGCGCTGTTGTAGGCTGG